TCCCTTCGCGCACACGAATTTCTCCCCTAGCCGCAAAAATATGCGTTCGTATACGAGAATTTCTCTCCTTCTACGAGAATTTCTCCCTTATCCAGCAGGAATTTCTCTCCTTCTACGAGAATTTCTCTCTTCGCGAGCAGGAATTGCTCTCCTGGCCGGCAAAAATATGCATCCTTCCACCAGAATTTCTCTCCTCTCACGAGAACTTCTCTCCTTCCACGAGAATTTCTCTCCTCTCACGAGAACTTCTCTCCTTCCACGAGAATTTCTCTCCTAGCGGGCAAAAATATGCATCCTTACACGAGAATTTGTGTCCTTCCACGAGGATTTCTCTATTCGCGCGCAGGAACGTCTCGCCTAGCCGGCAGAAATATGCGTCCGTATACGACAATTTCTCTCCTTCCACGAGAATTTCACTCTTCGCGAGCAGGAATTTCTCTCCTACGAGAATTTCTCTCTTCGCGAGCAGGAATTTCTCTCTTAGCCGGCAAAAATCTGCATCCTTACTCCAGAATTTCTCTCCTCTCACGAGAACTTCTCTCCTTCCACGAGAATTTCTCTGTTCGCGAGCAGGAATTTCTCTCCTGGCCGGCAAAAATATGCATCCTTCCACCAGAATTTCTCTCCTCTCACGAGAACTTCTCTCCTTCCACGAGAATTTCTCTCCTCTCGCCAGAATTTCTCTCCTAGCGGGCAAAAATATGCATCCTTACACGAGAATTTCTCTCCTCTCGCGAGAACTTCTCTCTTTCCACGAGAATTTCTCCCTCGCCCAGCAGGAATTTCTCTCCTAGCCGGCAGAAATATGTATCGTTGCACGAGAATTTCTCTCCCCTCACCGGAATTTTTCTCCTTCCACGAGAATTTCTCTGTTAGCCAGTAAGAATGTCTCTGCTAACCGGCAGGAATTTCTCTCCTGCCACGAGAAGTTCTCTCTTCGCCAGTAGGAATTTCTCTCTTTGCCAGTAAGAGTTTCTCTGTTATCCGGCAGGAATACATGTCCTCCCACGAGAATTTCTCTCTTAGCGAGTATGACTTTTGTCCCCTAGCCGGCAAAAATATGCATCGTTACACGAGAATTGCTCTCTTAGCCAGTAAGGATTTCTTTGTTAGCCATCAGGGATTCCTCTCCCCTCACGGGAATTTCTCTCTTCCCTCGAGAATTTGCCTCTTAAGCAAAAGAAATTTCTCTGCTGTCCGGCAGGAATATGTACCCTTACAGGGGGATTTCTCTCGTCCCACGGGAATTTCTGTTTAACACGGGAACTTTGAGAATTTTAACGGGAATTTCTCCTTTAGGTATTAGGAATTTCTGTCCTGCTACGAGAAGTTCTGTTTTGCGGCAGAACTTCGAGAATTTCAACGATAATTTCTTCTTTCGATAGCTGGAATGTCTCGTCTGTCACAAGAGTTTCTCTGTAGGGACTTTTTCGGTGTAAGAAGGTATTTCGGTTTTATTTCTTGAAGCAAAAATTTTCGACATGCATTTGAAGAAAGTATATCAGAAGTAATCAGAAGTGCCTCATTTTGAAGGCTTAGCAATCGGTCTACATTAGCTTGAGCTGTATTACTATATGAGACCAGTCCATACTCCATAACGACCAAAATATAGGATAAGTATATTTGTCTAAGAGCCGATCGTGCCAGTGTCTTTTGTAAAGCTCTCAAAATGTGCATCCTTTTACTTAGTTTGTTAATTACGTAGTCTATTTGTTCGTTCCAAGTTAAGTGCTGATCCAAAACGAGTCCTAGATGTTTATGCTCTGTCACTTGTTTTAGCGTGTTACTGTTTAAGGAAAGTGGATAAAACGTTGCGTTCCGCCCAATAGATGAAAAGGTTATTTCTTCTGTTTTCTGTGTGCTTAAAGTGACTAACCATTTGTTTGTCCAGTCATTTAATTTATCCAAGTCATCCTGGATTGTTAGGGAAGATGCAGAGTCGTTTGGTGTCACTGTATGAAAAATAGATGTGTCATCCGCATATAGATATAACATGCTTTTTAAGTCCAAATTAGCGATGTCATTGATATAAATGAGAAAAAGAAGCGGTCCCAAGATTGATCCCTGGGGCACTCCTGATTCAACCATTCCGTAAGACGAGGTGTATCCTTCGACACAAACGCATTGCATCCTGTTTGACAGGTACGATCGAAACCATTCAAGTAAGGAACCTTCAACCCCTAACTGCTCTAATTTCTGCTCTAATTACTGGATCGTTAAATAATTCAAGTGTTATGGGACAAAAAAGATATTCATCTTTTGAAAATCTTGATGTAGCCGTTTCCTAGCTAAATAATACGTAACTCAAAATCAATTTATTACACTTTATTAGTGAAAAATTGTAATGCAAACATAAAAACAACGAAGAACAAAACAGAAGTTTAACATCTAATGACATAATAATACCTCTACAGGAGGATGGAAACGGCATCTCTCTATCACCTTTCATTCTAGAGATATTCAAAAAATATCCATGGCCACTCATTTGCGGTAGTAGCAGGCAGTCATTTATAAATTCTCATACAAGCAGCTTACTTTTCTATCTTTTAAAAGAACAATAGGTTCGGAAACAAAGATCGCTAGTAGTATTGAAAGAGAACGCGAAAAAAAAGTAATAGAAAGGAGAAAATGTCATTAGATGTTAAACTTCTGTTTTGTTCTTCGTTGTTTTTATGTTTACATTACAATTTTTCACTAATAAAGTGTAATAAATTGATTTTGAGTTACGTATTATTTAGCTAGGAAACGGCTACATCAAGATTTTCAAAAGATGAATATCTTTTTTGTCCCATAACACTTGAATTATTTAACGATCCAGTTATTACTGAAGATGAAAATACGTACGAAAAACAAGTGATTACTGAGTGAATCCGAAAACATGGCACAAGCTCATTGACTAGACAACCGTTCGACATCAGTCGCTTGGTTTCAAATTGAGTAATTAAAGAAGTAATTCAACGAAATAAAAACAGGAATAGCGGTGATGGAAGTGATAATAATCCAAATAGAAGACGTTGCTCCTCAGGTTAAATGAAGGAAAAGCTTCCATTTTTAATTTGTTGTAACTGTATTTTTATTTATAGTTGTTAAAGAGGACCCAAATGCACAAGTTCTGTGTCGTTATTGTAGCGTAGCTCAACGCGTAAATTCAATAAAAAAGCATCAAATACATCGATAGCTTATCTTTTTATAATCCATGTAAATGACTATCTCTCATATTTCTTTAGATAGAATGTTCGAAAAAATACACTGTAAATGTAGAACAAACAGAACTTCAAACTGACAGCAGTGATCGTCTGATTCCTCCTGCTCAATATCCAGTCCCTTCAACTAATCACGAAACTATAGAAGGACCAGTTGTCTCTGACAGAGGTAGAAAAACACGTCGAACATTTTATTGTTTATTTATAAAGCTTATTATTTTGTTACTTTTATCAGTGGCTGCCATATCTGGTATAGTACTTGCATTATGCATTGTTTATGGAAAAGGTAAGAGAATTCGTTGTGAACCATAAAGAGATGATCTTTTTCAAAATATAAAATTGTTACCATACCAGGGGTCGCCCTGGGACGGAAAGTACCCATACCCACTTTTTACCTCTACGTTCACTTTCAACGCTAAATACAAGCTGAAATTGCAGGTGGTATCGACAAAAAGCCTTCCCTTTTACAATATAGTTCAAAAAAGTTAAGCTTCTCAGGGATAGAACGAAACTAACATACCCCACCCATACTTCTTTTTTTCCTGACCGTACGATGACCAGAAAGAAATAAAAAACTGGTTTAATTTACAAATTCCAAAAACTAGATAGACTTGCATGCTTATTCATCGTCATTTCACAGGGACAGTTGAGGTCAACAAATTTATTGGTCATATTATACTTGAACAGTGCAAAATGTACATTTTATAGTCAATTCTATGTGCTGAATCATAAGAAAAACATTTTCGAAGGTTTGCAAGAACGAAAAAAGTAAAATTTGGCTTACGTGTAACGAACTCTACAATTTTACTTTTTTTAAATAGTTTTGACAAAGTAAAAGATACTTAATATATATAAAGGGACTTTTTTTTGAAGAATTAAGAAGCATATTTTGTATTTGATACATTACATTAGCTAAAAAAGAAACTATTGTAAAATATCCAAGGGAAAGCAAGTAATGCAAGTCCTATTAATTTGTTTATTATTGATGTCAGTATTAGGTAAGTAATTAAAAAAAATCAATTTGCCGATGTACATTAGGGGATTAATTCATCCAGTCTTTTCAATCACGTCGAGCCCGATAGATCTTTTAAATAAGCGAGGAACACAGCAGTTCCTAAAATTGGTTACATATGATAGACCAGTAGAAAGTGCAAACAATCATCAAACAAATTCTGTTATTCATACAGTTATTTATTCACGAGGTATTAGTGGTATCGATCAAAAAAGTTTAGAGATTCTATCATCAAAAACAAGTCGATTAGAAACAAAATTATATAAAGGTTATTTAGGATTTGGTGGTCAGATTCTAGCAAAATTTGCTTATGGCTTAGATGAATCAAAAATATGGTCGATTAATGTAATAGTCGACGATATGTGGAATAATTTGGTACCACCCAATTATCGAACTAGTGTGTCAACAGTTTTTTACACTTGGTATTGTGCCGGTGGTTTTTTTCATATTCAAACGACAGAAGTTAACGTTGCAGTAGGCATTGCGTTACGTCTGTAATGTTTGTATAAGAGAGAAAATATATAAAATCTATCTTTTCTTATCGATTTTATTCCTTTTTTCCAATAGATTACGTTTTATTAACTTTTTTATATAATACATCGAAGAACACATTAACTGTGCTAATTAATTATAGGTAATATATATATATATTCTCTTTAACCTTATCACTTGCTAATATGCGATCGCCAAAGAAATGCAAGCTGTGTTCATCAGAATTCGACGCTGATTATACAAGGATTCCTTTTATCGATACAATGAGGGACGTTTTTAACTGTTCCGGCTTTCCTCGTTTAATCAAGCGTTTCTATGCAGAAAACTTGCAAGAATTCTGTGAGAGGTTTACATCCGGAATAAAAAAATTTGTCCTTTGTTCATTTGTTTGCTCATTTTTATTTGTAGACTGAAAAAACCAGCAGAAACACAAACAGCAATGGTCACAAGTCCTACAACAACTGATTTTACTAGAACATTTCTACAGAATTTGGCACCATTATTTACAATAAATCGTGTTGTTCATCCTCGTGGACGACTAAAACAAAGCAGAGAACATACACGGTTTTACAAAACACATATTGGAGATGGTGGCAAAACAACAATAGTTAGAACCAAATCAAAACGTCTTCAACAACGTCCACTGTCAACTAAAGCAGCCAAAATTTTAATGAAAGACGATGGTGAGTTAGGAGGACATTTAGTAACACCACTACTACCACCAAAAACAGAATCAACAACACTCACTGGAGCAACAATAGCGAAAACTACAGCAGCAGGAGAAGTAGGAACATTATCTAGTCCATAAAACTTATTACCAACAGAAAATGCCACTATAACTGCTTCTCAAGATTCTGTTACCAGCAATTCAAGTAACAAAGTCAGCAGGCCTTTAGCAGAAGCTACAATAACCTCACTGGCTCCACTACCATCACTGCTATTATCGTTTGTCTCAGCCTCATCACAACAGCCAGGTACTAATGGTTCAAGTTCAAGAACTACTAAAATACGAAACGATGAAAACGATCAAGATAAGGAAAATTTGCGTATCATAACAGACACAGTAATTGATCAAACAATATAGTCTTTAACGCTCCTTTGCTGAACGAAATTTCTTTACAACTAACTATCTGGACTATATATTTCGATTAAGGGTAGAGAATAAAACTTTTTATATTTGACTGAATGCTTGAGAATAAAATAAGAAAAGTTATTAACAAGTTTTGTAAACTGTATAGTTAATTAATTTAAACTAACTTTATACAAATATATCTGATAGAAATTGTCGTCGCAAATGAATAGTATAATTCACATAAATCATCGGGAAATAAGCATGGAAGGATTGTATTGTTGACTGAATGTTGATCGAACGACATATGCATGACCGTACAATATTGTTTCTTTATTAAGATTTTGTAACCCAGCCCAAGCTTCTTGCTGTTGCACAACACTTACAAGTGGAAATGTATGAAACGGTGCTTGAGCCGATTTTGATGAGTATTCAGATAACATTTTTCCCCTTTGGGTCAAAATGAAGATAAACAGGTACGAAACGAAGTAAACGGGTACAGATGTTTGGTAATTACGGGCACAAAAAGATGCTCGTCCGAAAGTCATGGTAGTCGAATAACGAAAATGAAAAATCATAAGATCAAACGAAAGGAAAATGTAAGCGTACGTTTGATCTCTATAGCTGAACTATATTTTCTCGTTTCTTGCTTATACAGTATAGAATTGCCATTTAGAGTGATTTCTCTGGTGTAACTAAGCAACAAAAGAGGACTAAACTTACTCAAAGTTCATTCAGAAAACCAAGCGACGCCTACTTATATACTCTAAAAAAGCTTCCAATCATCAACACTCATGCTAGACCCTGTCTTTTCTTCGAAAAAATTGCGCCAGTTCAAAAGCGCTACACTCAATGAGAATAACTGCTACTCACTTAGCGCCAACCATAAAAGTAATTATCTTTGCAACCGTTATATGTGTAAAGATGAAACTTTCACCAAATGTGTAACTAATATTCATAACTCATTTCCCAAAATTTCAGCTCGATCTGTCTGGCGGAAAAATAGTCGATTTCTCAAGCTCTCTCATAATGATAAGGCATCTACCACTTTCGATAGTAAATTTTAAACAATCTTATACAAGAAATTAGTAAGACTCTTATAAGAATGTTATAAGATTTTAATAACGGCTTATAAGTTTCTGGTATGATACTTATATAAGAATCGATCTCTAGGAATGCCATGTTCTATGAGTTTTTGACTTCTTCTGTTACATATCACACGATTTAGAGTGTTTCTTATACTCTTCTTCATTTTTTCTTTAGTCATCCATCTTGTAAAGAATAGCTTGATTATTTGATAAAATATGGACATTATTTCTAATTGAAATATTGTAATATCATGCGATATAGAAAAAAGGTCTCCCTATGATAGAACTTGATAAAAACTTCCTAAAACATGAAAAAAAGTCGTTACTTCAGCAATGATCGATCAACGGACGGACGTTTTTTTTAGAAAAAAACAGAAAATCAGTTTCCTACGAATAGGGGTGAATATTAGTTTCAGAACTGGGTGAGTACGAGTACGTTCTTTTCAAAAAAAGTCAGTGAGTTATTGGATTTTCCAGTATTCACTCTTCTTCATTTAATCTATTCTGACTCCGGTGAACTAATATTTCCCACATGCCTTGCTTCTCAGTACATCATATATAAAATAGTTATATCTTTTATAAAATAATACACTACAAGGTGCATAGTTACTATCAATACCCTTCTGCCATAACTGTAAGAATGCACACGAAGGATAATAATCTATTCTAATACCATCATAGTCCTGATTAAAATAAAACGATCCATTACTAAATGTATCGTCTGACATATTATATGAAGTTGTGTTTAAAGCTTTCCAGATTGATGGTAATATGGGTGGAACAGGTAGAGATGCTTTTATATTCAATATTGAATTTATTTCTATTTCTATTTCTTTTTCCATGTTCAATTCTTGATTTTTATAAGATGATGATGAATTAACACACTGATTTGTAATGTATTGTGCTTGTGTATCTGTGGCAGATATAGTTAATGGCAGACATATTAGACCAGGACAACACCATCGATCGGAATCGTCTATGCCTGTATTATTAACACAATTAATACGAAATTCATCCATACAACGTCCTTCGGATGATGCTGGACACTGTGGGTGTTGGAGTGATAAAGACGCAGCTATAGTTATGCTTAAACTCATAATAGTAAACAACTTAATGTTCATCATATCTAAAACAGCTCTAATCTCTAGAAATTAGAAGCAGAACAGTAAAGAAGATGATCTGTCTGTAGGCTATTCCACGTAATTCAGTCAAAAACGCGAAGATTTTGTACTATCTTCACATCTTTATATCCTCCTGGAAAAAAACAGTTTTTAGTCGTGAAATTTGTTGGTAGAGCAGTAGGAAATAAGTATTTATAAATCGAATTTAGCAGTTCTATATTCGATTTACAAATAGTTTTAGTCGTGTTTCCGACCTTATTATGAATAAACAAATAGATGATAAAACAATAATAATATATTCTGGTAGCGTTTGAAACTCTCTATTAATCTCTCCTTTTCCACTCTGGGCTTGAGATTATTTGCTAACAAATATTTTGAATATTGTTAATGTGCCCCACCTGTCACATTCCTAGGAATTGCATTTTATTCTCCTTCCACTGACTGTGGTATGTGTTTTTGAGAATTTGAATGATGTTTCTGTGTGTACTACCAAAGCCCACATTCTCAACAGTACTAGCACCAAGGGGGAAAAAGCAGTATTAATACACAAAAAAATACGGTACATATACTATTCACATACCGCATACATAACCAAATATCAATTATAACCCAATATCAGTTTTTGAAGATCTCCTAGAAAGCTGGGTTTTGAGATCTCAAGAAGTTCCCAAATGAGCTTTTTAAGCAAAAAAAATGAGTCGGCTTGAAAGAGTAGCGAAAATACCGGTCACATACCGAAAATATCGGTTATATATCGAAACTGCTTTTCCCCCCTTGACTAGTACTTACAGTTGGGTATAGTGTATATGAAATGGGTAGATCGCTGTCAACACTTTTATATCATAGAAAAATATGTGACGTTGGATGTATGTGATGATAACTTGTGCAATTCCTGAGGAAGTGATAGGTGGAGTACATTAACAATTTTCAAAATATTTGCTATTAAATAATTTCAAGTCCGGGCTGAGAATAGAAAATTTCAAGCGCTACCAGAATACATAAGTATTTTTCTAAAATATATTTATATACACATGATAAACTCCAAAATGTGACTAAAACGTTTTCTTTCCAAGGGAATACGTTTCGAACGAAAATATACCCGAATTTTCATTCAAAATATACCCGAAATTCATCCATTGTCTCATTTTTTGTGAAGAAAAGTGTGCTTAACAAAATGGTTGATCTCGGAACTCTCTAGATAAACAAGTGCACTTGAAACAAGACTTTTAGATGAAATTAGAGTATGATATTTTTACATGGCTGAGAAACAGACATAATTTACAAATTATATCATCTTTTAGCTTTTCATCATGACACTACGATATTACGTCAGGTAGATAACATTGTTTAACAACATAATCATACACACACAAAGGTAACTTTTAATCCATAGTCACTATCAGTCGAACCTACCTTTAAAGAGAAGTAGTAAAAGAAGAATATCACTTACGAGAAAACTGCTCGAGGTAATAAATCGCTTTTGGAATCCAATTGCTATAATACGATTATATCTCAAGTGGATAATGAAAAACCCCAAAAGAGTGTGGTATATTTATTAAGTATTTATCATGACCTAAACGATATGTTTCATTAGTATAATCAATTCCAATAATAATAACGGGTGGTCCACATTAAATTGCGGGTCTTTGCAACGCTTTTTTCTCAGATTAAGGTTGATCAGAAAATTTTCTTTGGATGCTAAAAGATAGAGAATTTTGTGTAGATTTTAGTTATATATTCCTTTTGAAATAAATATTTTAATAAACTTTCTAATTCTTCAGTTGAGCAACTCTGTTTTTTATGGCCCTTAGCATTTCTAACACTGTAGAAAAATGCAGATATTTATTCCAAAAGGTATATATGACTAAAATCTCTATCTTTTAGCATTCAAACAAAATTTTCTGATCAAGCTTAACCTGAGAAAAGAGCCTTGCAAAGGCCGACAATCTTTAATCTGGACCACTGGTAAATTTCTAGATTGCACATGAATATTGTGATGAATTAGAATATTTAACGCACTTTACATCAGGAGTACTTTACGAAATCCCGTATTTCGTACTTCGTACTTCAGAAGTACGGAGAAGTACAAAAAAGTACGAAGAAGTACGAAGAAGTATCAAGAAGTACGGAGAAGTACAGAAGTATGCTCTTTCCCCCTTGAGTTTAAGTGACGCCAATATTTCTCTTTCAGATCAGCATCTCTCAAAGGGGGCAAGTTCGAGAGAGCAGAGTCTGCGCTGTACGATCCGAAGAAAGAAATTATCAAAAATAATTATGCCTGATGAACGAAAACTATGCTTTTAATCGGTTAGTCAGATGTTACTGAAAAACTTTATTTTCTCTACCTAAAAGTCATCAAAAAATAACTTTTAAATGTATCATTGGCTAGCACTTGAAAAACTGCATAATTAAAATCAATTAGTAGTCTTATGTCGTTTAAATCGACCTACTTTTTTCGCTCATTGACGTCATCCTGAGCATGACTCATTAATCTACTTATTTTCAGAGTTTAATTCAAGTACAAATTTCTTCGAAAATAACAACTTTGTAGAGAAAACAATTCTCTGCAAGATGAGAGCGTTGGAATATAATTTACAGTTAGTAACGTTGTTAATTAGCAGCAGGGGCGTAGCGTCACACACACCCGCGGTCGCTACGCCCCTGATCAGCAGGAAAAGTAAGTCGATTTAAACGACATGTGATCACTCGCTAATTTCAATTAAACTACATCAGATACATAAAGTTTTTCAAGTGCAAGCCGATGATATATTTAAAAGTTATTTTTTAAATGAGTTTTAGGTAGAGAAAATAAAGATTTTTTGTAGTTTTCGTCCACCAGATATAATTGTTTTTAATAATTTCGTTTTTTCATCGAATAGTCAAGGCTCTGTTCTTTCGAATAGTATGTAAACTCTCTAATCTACCACTCAACTAAATCGAAAACGAGCTGGGTATATGGGCGTTCAAAATTTGAACTCGAACGAATAAAGTTTCGATATATTTGGTGTAGTACGCAGTGTGGCCGAGTCGAGATTTAAATCAGCACCCTTACAACATACACATCACTTTTCTTAAGGCTCTTAGCAATATGCCTATAGTTTTTGAGAGAGACATCGTGGAGCGCTGGAAGACGTCTCGTTTTGTAGAGAACTCTTTGTTCTGTCACACGAACTGTTTGAAAAGAATTTACACATACCGAATGAAAGATAAAAAATTTTTGGCACTTAAAAATAGTGTTCCACTGTAGGATGATAGATTTTAGAAATTTCCTATCTCATCAAGGAATGATCGGGGAGAGCTAGAAGTGGCCCTCAAGTGTTAGAAGACACTTGATTCTGTTACATAACATAGTTGACTCAGAAGCCGATTGTATTGTGAAGTGAGCAGGGGCATTCTCAACTAGCATTTAACCGGCATTTTCAGAAGGTCATTTTAAATCCTTCTGCACATTTTGTGAAAACTTTAAAGGACAAGTCCGGTTTTTGAAAGAAGAAAGTTTGAGGTTTAAAAACGAGTTTGCGTTGAAAAACAGGTATATTAAATCTTTTGTACCGCATCCGCCTACGTTTATGTCACTGCATCTTGGGCCTATGTGCTGTTTAGTTCACTCAAATGGGTGATTTACATTACTAAATTTCTTGTGGATAGTATTTGCATGACTTAAAAGTTTTTGTTTACATCGCTTAAACTTGCTGTTTGCATTGCTGCATTTTTGATGATAATTTACAACACTTAAGTTGTTCTGCTTATTTACAGGGTAGCCTCTAATTCGATAGTTTCGAGGGATATTCTTTATTTTTTGTTCATTTTTTTCTATGCATGTGGATTCACTCTTGTTTAGTCTATCTGTTCGTCGACTATATCTCTTCGTTTTCATCCATCTCTCTCTCTCTCTACGCTTTATTTGCTAGCTACTTCTGTTAATAGTCCTTTAACATGAGCTACTCTCCGTTTCAAAATGGTTGGCACTCGGTTGCTTTTTGAATAACTTTTGATAGGAATGAGATAGAGACCTGCGATTTTCGCTGTTCAATAGCCAAGACTTGAGCAGAACTTTTCACAAGCGGA